ATACATAATTTTCATTATGGCAGAAAAACGACTAACGGAGTGTTGAAAGCACTAAGATAGGTCAAAATCATTATATCGGACAAGTATTTCAACTATTGACCCATGTGGGCATATTTCTGAAAGACTTATTTATCGCTCATTTTGAAGCTCGTGAAATTCTCTATTGAATGGTATATCTATCGTAGTGGCTAGTTGAGAAACGTTGATCACAGGATCCTCATCGTGGAATAAGGCACCCACTTTCGGGTTTCCAGACAGTACTTCTAATGTCAAGGGGTCCCATTACACTTTTTACTCTATCATATGTATATGAACTTGTAGTGCGACAAATTCTCTATCGAATGGTATATGTATCGTCGTCGTTAGTGGACAAGTGTGGAGCACAGGATCGTCACCGCTGAACAAAGAAGTGTAGAACTTTGGTTACAGTAAATTCGACCTAGTTTTTTCTGAGAGCAATTCTAAGGTCTGTCGGGTGGCTATAAATGTTCTCGTGTTCATTCTGCATCTAACCATGTATGTGTCGATGGAACTCAAGCCGATTCCATCAAATAATCGCCCCCCCCTCGTCCTTTGAAAACATGAGAAGATTCACCGGACAATTCTGCATCTTCTCACATATTTTTTGAAGTTTCTCTGTGGAAAATACTGATATGGCTTAAAAAAGCTATACTTTTGACAGACTTTAGGTTTTGGGCTATAAAAGCAGCAAAACGTTCTGAATCCAGGGTTTTAGCCTTGTTATCCCATACAGAATTAAATTCTGCGTCTTTTGATATATAAACAAAGTTTCCCAATTGAACCATTAATTTGAAAAAATTTAGTCAGTTGAGAACTAATTATTATTCCAGCCGACGTAGCGGAAACATTGTATGACGTTTTGAATGATGAGATCGATAGAGCGCAAAATTCTCTATCTTTCTGAGTAGAAAAATTAACTATTAAACATCAGACAACGGACTAAAAGCTAAAAAAACAAACGACTCCAGTGTGTCGCAGTTCGACAACTCAGCATCCTTCAATATTTTGAATGGTGCTCAAACGAGAAAAATGCTCTAAGTGATTCAAATAGCAGGTTTTGTAGCGAATCAATACTCTATCGATTGAGTCTAGAACCAACTCTTTGCACCACTGGGAAGTATCTCAAAAACAAAGAACAAAAATGTGCCATTTATTCTGGCCCACCCCTTACAATATTTTGCTGGGTGTCCAAATCTGAAACATTTTCTACATGATAGTGCGACATCACTCTGTTTGGCTTCTTCATCTCTTAAAAGATAATAGCCTACTCTTAATCCTATTTTCACAATTCTATCTGGACTTACTTTAGCTGTTAAAGTTATTTTTATAGTTTTTGTTAATTTCCCCTGACGTTTTAAGAGACGATTCGCCAGCCCATCAAGAAATCAAGTCACGAGTGAAAAACTGACATATACTTTTTATTTCATATTCGGATTCTACTATCAAAAGTGGGTTTGTGAAAAATAAAAAAAAGTTTGTGGCTTATTCGGGCTGAGTTATAGAATTTACAAAATGACCACCATCGTCGAGTTGCGAAAAGTAGCCATCATATAGTTCCTAATTTTTCTGAAGTAGGAAGTGACTGTTTAAAACCCACATCAATTGAAAGAATTGGGATTTTGAAGGATCAAAATTTTCGAGAAAATGCCATCTTCGACCGTCCAAACAGAATTTAGCTAAGAATTCGAAGGTCACATGCGATAGAGAATTCAATTTTCCACAAACTGAGCTCAAAAACTTTGTTTTAAAAGTGGTGCAAAAGTTCTAAAACTTGAAAACAAGATGGTCGACTAACCACGAGTTTTCAGTCTTTTGAGACTTTAGTCATCGAAACTTCACTTAAAAGCAAAAGTAAGGTGATATTTGGAAGCAACGTCAAAAGCTGCATCAAATTATGCGCCTTTGAAAGCTTTTAGGGAAATGACAAATGTTTATCAATATTTGCTCGGAAGCCGAACATAAAAAATCGAAAAATTGTCGAAATTTTTCATTTCTCCAAAAGCTTTCAAAGCCACATCATCTCAATTCTCCATTTGATGTGGGTTTGAAACAGTCACTTTCTATTTCAGAAAAATTAGGAGCTATGTGATTTTGTTCACTTTTATCATACTTTCGAATGCGATATCGCTCGAAGAAAGTGGACAAAAAATGGCGGAGTTATTGTCAAAATATCAGAGATGGCTACTTTTTGCAAATCGACGATGGTGTTCATTTCGTAAATTCTATAACTCAGTCAGAATAAGTCACAAAGTTTTTTTATTTTTCACAAACCCACTTTTGATAGTAGAATCCGAATATGAAATGAAAAGTGTATGTCAATTTTTCACTCGTGACTTGATTTCTTGATGGGCTGACGAATCATCTCTCTTAAGTGTTCTAATGGCACTCCATTTAGTCGACTTTCCAGTCTTAGCAGCATAGTTGGTCTTTAGTTTATCATGATCTGATGTTTTATTCTTTGATCTTAATCAAACGTAGGCTAAGTTAAAAATAAAGTTGAAAGACAGCTTTATTGTTTTTAAACAAGGAAATATCACATAGAAAAAATTTAGCACCTTTGGAACTGGTGTGGACCAATGAAGACCGTCTCTAATTTGAGTAGATGTGAGTTCATTATCAGTCGTCTACCTGACATGGTCTCTTAATGAAGATGGAACGTGCTACAAAACTATACAGTTAGATTATTATATTTGCTTTGACGTGTAGGTTAGAAACGATGTTCTTTGGCTAAGAAATAAATAAACAGTTTTCGGGAGCAGTTCTGCGCATTTAATTCATGTACAATTGATTCTGATTTTCAGGATGACTTGTATTAATTTTTTACAAATTTTGCAAACAGGGGCACTTCCATGTATTTTCAGGGATCATTTATGATTTTATCTTGTTATGTATCATCCTCTTAATATAGTCTGTTTCTTTATTAAGAAAATACGGTAACCAAATATGGCGTCAAGTATGTCGCATTTTTCCTGCAGTGGTTTTTCTGACAATGTCAGCATCCAGTTCACTTTTTACGGGTTGGGTGCTGGAATTAGTTTTTTGCGAGGTGCGAGATTTGTGTACGATGACTTGATGGACACTTCAAAAACAGTTAGGCTATATATTATCGACCGTACTGACTCCTGCGGCGATATGTTTTCAGTTCAAACAATTTTGTTTCGTTCTGCTATCAAAATCTAAGAAAGCTATCTCCCTTTTGATACATGATTGAAACTTCTACTATTGTTATTATAACGTAAGAAAACCAAATCATTAGAGGATATGATCTGATATCCTTGATCTAAGGCTGCTCAAATATATTAATTGAACTTGTAAGACTCTTAACGGTTGATGAAATGCCAATTATTACAAAACTTTTTGCACAGCTTTAGCTTATGGTCATTAGCAACAATGTTGATACTACAAATTTTTATATATAATAGCATGTAGTTAATAATGTATCCATTTTTCATGCAGACGGAAGTAAAACAAAGCTACTTTCTCAAATATCTATTGCCATGTTTATCATCACATATTTAAAATTTCCGGAAACGAAATCAGTGATGTGATTTTCAAAGCCGAATAACTGATGTACCACTTTATACATCCATCACAATTTACTCCATCAATAACAACTCTTCAAAACTCATTGAGAAAACTGATGAGAAAATTTTTTGTTTGAAGAGCCTTTCGTCATTTAATAGCAGAAAATGTATTGCAACAGAGTAAATGGAACAAAGAACAAAAGTCATTATCTGCGATGAAAAGGCAAAAGTTACTTATACCTCTTATTTGTTGTGCTGTGTAGCAGGGCTGCACGATTTCGTAAATTTAATATAAGACAAAACAAGTAATAGTTAAACGGGCGATAGAAATACAATTTTATCACATTTCTTGTTTAGAACGCTCAACACCATTGTTTTCTTTTAAATTATGTCAAGTTCTCATTCAGAAAAGACAATACAGACTTTACTTCTAATGGTTTTAATATTTTTTCATTCTGTTGTACTTTATTTTAATAAAATATTGTGTTTACTACGTGATATTACAAGTCATAGATTTTGTGTCTTTTGTCACCGGCACATATTTTTTTAATGTATCTAAAAATCGAATATAAACTCGAAGTGGTAGTGTTTTATTTTGTAACTCGTTCAGTTCTCCTTTAAGTGACTGATACATTATATCTGAATTCGCATTACACATTTTATACATTTCGTATAATTGTCGCCCATTCAAATCTTCACAAAGTGGAATCATCGCATCGAATTTCATTTCATTGAGAAAATCCACAACATTTTCAACTGTCCATTGTTCTAAAGGGATTGAATCGTACGTCTTTAGTTTTTGTGGGATACTACGAAGAGAAATACAGTACATCGAAGGCGATTACCCTTTATGTTTACTTACTTCAGAGGCATGTTCTCACTTGTTTCAAAAGCGGGAGTATTATGTGATATGTAGTGATGTGGAGCTTGTTTTTTCGGTGACTGATCACGGCGACGATTAATTTCTGTCACCAACTTTTGATAGTCAGTATCAAAGTCTCTTTTTGAGAAATCCACATATAGTAAACCACTAATAATGAAGCCGAGCCAACCATCAGGACGATATTTTTCGATGACTTTCAATGGTATTAATTGGCAACGTCTTTCATATGCGTAGTGAGCTTCTGATTGACAATAGGCACTTTGTTTATACGTGTCAGACATGCAAATGAAAACAAATTCTGAGTTTTCAATAGCATTAGCCATTTCTTGCATTTGTGAGCCGTAGAGATTATCACGATCGAGCCACACACGAAATTTGTCTTTCACTAAACGTTCTTGTATTTGGTAGCATAGGTCTTTGTCAGCATGTGAATAACTGATCATAATATCATATGTGTGTAATGAAGTAGCGTGTGCTAGACTATCACTTATTTCCTTCTGTGCTTTTTCGCTCATAAAGTGGGCTTCTTGTTCTAGTTTCCATATAATTCCTTCAGCTGCTTTTATGACACCAGTTTCATTAGACATTTGAAGAGATCTAAGATGTGATATGAAATTTTCGTTACTTTTCAGAATATTAGCAGCTCGTTCATTGAATGTCATTGCCCACAGAATTTCTAATGCACATTGTTGAACTTTGATGACATCAAATTTAGTTTCTGTAATACATCGAATTAACAACGGTATAGCATTTTGTTTTACGAGTTCATCCTTGATCTGATCATGTTGTACAAGAGCTAGAAGAGGAATACGAACGAAAGTTAGAATTACTTCTCCTTTTGTGCAACCAATTTTGCCAGAAACATGCAGAATGTGGGAGTAGCATAGGTTCTGTTAATTTCTTTAGAACGAGAATTGGTCGGTTACCTTTTCTTCTCAAAAGAACTCTGACTGTTACCAAATCCATGTAAAAGAACTGGCTCTCTTCTATTCTAGCGGTCGATTTATATAGGAAACATGTACTTAAAAATCCAGGAGATGAGCTCTGTTCATGTAAACGATCCGAAAAAGTCAGACATTTGTTTCTCGATTGCCCGAAATACATATCAGCTAGGAAAACTATATCTAAAAATCTGAAACACTCTGATCCTTAGCTTTTAACTTATTCACTCTTTCTTTTTAGTCAGAGTAACATCCGTAAGATACCAACTTTATGTATGTGACGGCTTTGTCCGCTTTAGGTGAAGGTGATAGTATTCTTCTTTTCGTCATATAAATATATTTTATTTGAAAGGGATCTCGTACCATGGGTGAAAAGATGATCGCTTCGCGTATGACGACTATTATATCGCCAGGACCAGTTTGGATCTCCAAAAACTAAGATAGCAATCTATCAGGTTTTTTTCATAGACAGATATTCCAAAGTGTCCTCTAAAAAGTGAGACCTAGGCAAAAGTTCATTTTGATTGGTTCAGAAGCTTTGAAGAATATTCGCGAAACCTAAGACTTCTCTATTGTTCGGTTTAGAACCTACAAAAATGCATGACAACTTAGGTTATCGACTATGCTGAATCGTGTGGTAATGTCTTTTTGTTTTTGGAATGGAATTTCTTTGATTGATGGCGCACCAACACCATTTGATACACAGTTTTACCGTGCAGAAACGACTCTTTAGATATTTGTATGCACTTGAATATACAACTATGAATAAAAATGTTTTTTCACTCCAACAAGACAAGGTTATTCATTAGTTTTGTCCGTCTAATACCTTGTTTCTGTTATCACCATCACTGTCTATGAGGCTGTTTTCTAGATCTTCATCGTTTTTAACGGCGATTTTGAACGCTTTATCGACATTATAGAATCGAAGATGCTTATATGCCAATTCAAAGGACTCAACTTTGGTCATATATGATTTAAATGTGATGCTTCTCGCACTGAGCCAATCGGCTACTAGTAGTTTCTTCCATGCTTGTTTGAGTGGCTTGGGTTCTGCCGCAGAATTGTTATGTCTTGAAGCACTATCAATGAGAAAAGCGATGTTGAGCGATGGTGCTTCCCATTTCCAGTTAGGGTTCTGCATGTACTGTCAATTCATTCCACAAAATGTTTGCTCTCCATGGCATGTACCTCATAACACTTGAACATATCCAGCGAAGTGAGATGAAAATCAGTGAGGTTGAGCACTCTGCTAATCGTCAGACACAGACCTGTCCAAATCAGAATGGAACTAAGTATAGAAATTATTTTAA